AATTATTTATAGTATTTAATATAAATGTCATATAAGTAGTTATTATTTTCTGTTGTCCAGGGCATAATTTCAAGAGAAGAAAACCTTGCAAGCAACACTCTGTCAGATGATCAAAACTGTCTGAAACAATTTGAGCTTGCTATAGCAAGAACTCAGGGGTACTCAACTACTATTCTGGCATTAGGGTTCTCTCTTCCATCAGACAAACTGTTCTGTAGACTTAAAGAGTGTAAAAAAAAAAAAAAAAGAAAAGAAAAGAAAGAAAGAAAATTAAAGCAAGAAAACCTGTGCATGTTCATTACAGAATTGGAGAGGCAGTTTTCTATCCTGCGTCCCACCAAGTATTTTCAGGTCTTAGTGATCCACAGATGAGGAAAACCAATTACATTTGTATTTCTCCCAGAAAAACCTGAGTTCCACTTTTTTTTGTTGTTGTTGCATTCTTTATTCCTCTTCTTTGAGTGGTTCTTTTTAAAAATTCAAAGGATAGAATAAGATGTGGAGGTCACTGAGGAAAAATTTTACCCACATTTATTGAAAGAATTTGTTTCATGTTTCTATATTTATCAATTTATTATCCCTACCCTTATGATATATTTGTAAAGTGAACACAAACATAAAAATCAGAGATCTGCTTTTGTTTTTAGGTTTAAAGAAAATCGAAAAGATGACATTTGGCTTATAGATGTGAGTATGTAAATTTTATGTTAATTACCTGCCCCTACCATTTTAAAGACTCTTTTTTATTCTCTTTCACCCAAAGAAGTACTAACTAATAAGTTAGTACTTATGTATCTTCTTAATTTGTTTTTGCAGATAGTATTGTTTTTTCTGTTAAAATGAACCTTAGAGCTTTAAGGTTTAAGGGACTTATTTTATTGAAATTTTGGGGGTGAGAGTATTAAGATGGGAAGCTAGTACCCTATCTTATAATGCGGTAAATTTATAGATTATGTCTTTAGGAGATTATGATATGATTTTATTACAGAATGCACTCATTTCTTCTTGTTTTCCAAGATATTGAATATATTAATATCATTTAGTCACAGTCATACTTTCATCCTTTTTGTTTTTTTGGATTGTGGGGATTAAACTCAGGGGTACTCAACTACTGAGCCACATCCCCAGCCCTATTTTGTATTTTATTTCGAGACAGGGTCTCACTGAGTTGCTTAGTGCCTTGCTTTTGCTGGGGCTGACTTTGAACTTGGAATTCTGCCTCAGTCTCCTGAGCTGCTGGGATTACAGGTGTACGCCACCATGCTCAGCCGTACTTTGATCTTAATAGTGAACAAAATTAAAATTTAGCATCCTTTTCTCACTTTCTAGTTTGGAATAAATTTTAACCTTGTGACATTGAAGATTTGTTTTAACATTGCCTCAGCAAAAGTAGAGTAGCTGCAAAAGAAATGAAATAAAGATGGTAGAGTTGGGGATTATTGAAGCTATGTGATGGGATATGAGAGTCCACTGTTCAGTTTTTTCTCCTTTTGTATATTTTAACATTCCCATGGTAAAAATTTAAAAAGAAATATTACTTCATGAAAATGCAATAAGCACTTTGTTAGCTTGGGTTCTAAGTATTACCCCCACCATTTGCTGACTCTGGTCTGTGATTTTAGTTTTATCAGTCAGATTTGTCACTACTGCTACTACTGCTGTGTGACACAGGGAAGGTTTCTTAAGGCTTCTAAGCTTTGAATTCCAATGCTAAGCCAATTGTCTTAATAGTCTCCTGTATCTTGCCAGTAGATAAAATAAACTCAGCAAAGGCACTCACTTTGTTGGGATTTTTGTAATAAAAATAGATTGTTTATCATTAACATTTGGATGTGCACATTTTATGACATATGCATTTTTATTTACTGGTTTCTTTTTTTTTTTTTTGAAGAACATAGATACATTCACTTGGAAACAAAGACATTTTATTAAAATTCATATATCTGTTTTAAATAGGTATCAATAATCTATTAAAATGAACTTAAGTTAGTATTATATTTGAGGTATGACTTAGGAGTTAGCCTATCTAGATTTCTGTGTGTCTTTTATATTTTGCTACATAACCAATTAGGAAATATATTTAAACATTTAGTTCCAAATAGATTATTAGCAATTATTTAATCAAAGAGATTCTTTAAATATTAAGATTGATAGTTACAGTAGTACAACATTTTTAGTGATTTTTTTCCCCCCCTCTGGGTAGTTTTATGCACCATGGTGTGGCCATTGTAAAAAACTGGAACCAATTTGGAATGAAGTTGGCCTTGAGATGAAAAGCATTGGTTCTCCAGTTAAAGTTGGAAAGATGGATGCTACTTCCTATTCTAGTAAGTCTTGATGTAGTTTATTATTTTACTTTTCTCATATAAAGAAAATGTTTTAATTATATGCAGCAGTATTCAAGGTGGAAGAAAACATAATTTTCTGCTCTTGTAAAATTATCTTAGTTTAAGACTCTACTTTATAAATTAAATGAATTAGCCATTGAGTATTTACTATACAACCTGTGATAGTCTTAGGCCTAACATAAATGTACAAGCCATTGTGTATTCGTATTTGAACCCAACTTAGGTACTTAGTTTACATGAGGCAACTATAGAAAGTTGAATGTTTCATTGTTGATATAAGTTAAGTGAATGATAGTTTATTGTCTGAGTAGATAGATGGTATGATAGAGAAGTACATAAGAACTTAAAGATGAATTAGGATAAATATGAGAATCAGGAAGGTATTCATGCTGAAAAGAATATAAGAACAAAAATCAGAACTGAAAATGAGTTTAATGAGTATGTACACAAAATAAAATGAAGCAGAACAGATCTGTCCTCCTGTTTGTTTTGTAAATAGAATTATTGGAACATGGCTACACTTGTTTATTTACAGTTGTTTAGACAGTGTTGATGCACCAGTGTCAAAATTCAGTAGATGACGAAAACTACATGTTCCCCCAAACCTAAAATATTTATTATCTAATCCATTATAGAAAAAAGTGCTCTCTTAAAGGATTTAGGCAAAGAAAAAATTGAGTTTAGAGAAGTATGAATTATCATGAAAATTTAAAAAGAGCATGACTCTAGAAGTAAGCCTGGCTTTGCCTGCTACTACTTCCATATTGGTACATAATTAATTGTAATGCAGCTTTTATTGGTTATTCTGAAGCTTGAATGATGTTGTGTTTGCAAAATCCATTGTATGTTATAAATATATATTTCCTTTTCTTTTAGCTGAAAAAGAAAGTTGAACTGTGTAATATGTATTTCTTTTTAGGAAATCAACTGCACATTTTGGATCATACCTATGTTTTAATTTCAAGTTTCTCATGTTCTACTTTTGTGGTTTTGGGAAAATACTTAAAATACTTAGTTTCCATGTCTGTAAGGAACAGTGATATTTTCAGGGTTGTGAAGATTTTATTACTGTTTTATGTTCAGAACCCCCTATTGCAATAGCATATATACAGTGGTAAAGGATGATTTCAGATTGTTAGAACCTCCCACGGCAGAATGTTTTGCATTTTATTAGTTGTCCTTAAGGAAGTTATACACATTTTTGAGAAGACAAATTATTTGATAGAATTTTTTTGGCAGCAACTTGTAAATGAAAAAGAAGAGCAGGTGGAGACAAGAAAATCACGTGAGTGAATTTTTTTATGTGTCCTGGTGTGGGTCACTAGGAGCTTAGGCCGGGGTAGAAGCAGTAAAGTGAAGAAGGAATTCTTATATCATGTTCAAGGCTGAAGTAGCAGATGAGATAGTTTGACAGTGCTTCATTATATTCACTCACCTGTAATACTACTGTCATGTGGAAAAGAATGAAAAGTTTGATATTGTGTGCATTTTCAACCTCAGTTGAATTGGAGCCATTGCTTCATTCATGTTTCTGACTCGAGGAACTAGAGTTCATTTGCGTGCTTAGAGCTGGAGTTACTGATCACACATCAGTTTTTGCAACTTTGAAATAAGACAGGACATTGTCAAAGGGAGAAAATAATATTCTTGAGTTGCTATTTCTTGAAATAAACTTTTAAATAAACTTTTAACTTCATGTGTAACTACTGAAGGAATCCCTTTATAAGGCATTCGTAGTTACACATGAAATAGGTTCTTATGTCTTTTTTTTTATTGATTGTTCAAAACATTACAGAGCTCATGATATATCATCTTTCATACATTTGACTCAATTAGGTTTTGAACTTATGTCTTGATTAGAAATGTATACATAGATCATAGATGCAGTCCTTCATTAGTTCACTCAATTATTATTTCTTAACTACAGTTTATAAACCATCAAGTCTCCAGAGATTAAAGAAAGACTCAAACACATCCTGCCTGTTTTGGAAATGCTTATAATACAGCCTTATAGAGGTAGAAAGATAAACAAAGCAGTAAGTGTAAAAAAGTCATAAAAACTGTAAATTCTTATGATCACTTGAATCATTGAGTGGAGTAATAATGTATAAAGCAAAGTGGAAATATAAAAAAAATAGTCATTGAAAAAGTAGTTCATATAAGTTAGTAAAAATTTTTATGGTAAACTGGTCAGGTGATGTTTCAGTTTCAGTTAACAATTTACATTGTCACAATTCATTATAATATCTAATTCATCAATGTACTATTTATTAAGTGTTTCTGTGTGCCATTATTACATTGGAACTCTGATTAGGGGCAAAATAGATATTCAAGGGCTGGGTATGTAGCTCAATGTTATAGCACTTGCCTAGTATGCAAAAGGTCCTAGTTTTCATCCCTAGCACTACACACACACACACAAAAAAAAAAAAAAAGCCCATGCATTTCTCCTGAGTAACTTAGAGAAGTATTTTAAATGCTGTATTAAAAATCAGTATTTTTTTCTGCATCTTCAGAATATAATGTGTATATAAGTCAAGAGTATCCACACACAAACACACTGTATACATATATATACTATATGTTGTTTTTGAATTTTAATTTTAAAATGGGACTGGGACTTTTTTTGTTTTTCATAAACCAGAGATTTGGTTTTTGCCTATAATTTCATGATTGTTGCAGATTTTATTCCTTATGTCTTGATTAGAAATCATCTTAACATCATATTACATGTTATATTGGATTAATGGGGAGGAAAAACCACTATAGAGATTGCTTTGAAGGAAATATACATACAACACATTATCTCACACAAGCCACCTAGCTTTGGGAAAAAGGAAAAGAGGAACTGATATACACTGAGGCCACTATCTGCCAGGTTTTGGGATAGGTGTTTTTTTATATACCACCCTACCTTGCACCTCAACCTACATAATGATGTGTTCTTGTGAATACTTGTGGCTCCTTGAATAATTGAAACATGGTTTATTCAAAAAAGTCATTCCTTTGTAAGAAAGTTACTGAGTCACTTTCATTAAATACCACGTATTTGGGGCAAGACAGGAACATTCTAGGTGTTGGTGATTTGTTAGTGAGCAAAATGAACAAAAATTTCTACTCTTGTAGAGCTTGCATTTTTATGGAGAGAGACAAAAACAATCAATATAAACATGAGTGAATATTCAGTATTTCATGTTAGTCATGGATGCTTTTCCCTGCTGTAGACAGAAAGAAATTTTGTCTTCTTAGTATTTAAAAAAAGTTGATAAATATTCAGAACCACTGTGGAGACATTACAAATACATTTTTGGCTTATAATTTCCAATGTTTCTTTAAATACTCTAAGGCAGTTCAAATTTAGGCATTTTGGTGGAATTTAGAGTTAAATAGACAAAGAAATTGAATCTGTTGGGATTATTCTGTCTTAACTATAGAATGTTAATGATTTGGCTATTTTACTAATACCTCTTCCATCCGCACAACCCACTTCTGTTTCTTGGCCTATAGTCTGTAGACTTATGACATGCATTAGGATGACGTGGGAATTCATTGTCAGTTCAGGATCCTGAGGCCTACACCACTGTACCAAATGGAAATCTTTCAGATTTGGTCAAGAAAGTATATTTTGAACATGTACTTCAAGTGATTTTGCTGCACACGTAAGTTGAAGAACCACAAAGAAGACTATTAATTTGATTAATAGATAGTTACAGGGCTTTGTTTCAGAGTGAGGTAGGATTATTTAAAGTGATCATGTGCAGCAAAAGTCTCTAAGATTCTTTGATGATATCTTATTTCTTATTCATCTCTTTGTAGTGGTTGAAAGCAAATGCCATCAAACTCAATCCAACATATCTGTTCGTAGAACTTTTGAAGTGGAGAAATTTGAACTGTATGTTTATTCAGTTCTCTGTGTTTAGATTTGTACCAGAAACTTCTTGATGCATGGTTTTGTTTTTGTTTTGTTTTCTTTTTTTGGTACTAGGGGTTGAACCCAAGGATGCTTTACTATTAAGCTACAACCCCAGTCCTCTTTACTTTTTATTTTTGAGACAGAGTCTTTCTAAGTTGCTGAGGGTCTCCCTAAGTTGCTGAAGCTGGATTCAGACTTGTGATCCACCTGCTTCAGCCTCCCTAGTTGCTGGGATCCCAGGTGTATACTACTATGTTAATCCCTTCATGCACAGAAACTAATATCAAATTTAATAAAAAAAGCTGTATGTGATCACTGTAAATTCAGATACATATTTTAGCCTTTCTTTTTTGTATGTATTCCTTCAAGAATAAATATTGCAAGTTTCTCATTCAGTAGTTAAATTGTGATATTGTGTGCCCTGTAGTGGGATGCTGATTTTATTGTGGAACCAATGGAATTATGTGTAGTCTCTAGATATGGTTGTATGAAAAAGATCATAGTTTACCTCTCTTGATGCCTAAACATGCAGTGGTGTTTGAACAATAAAATTCTTATTCTGACTTCATGTTTACAGATTATATTTACAAATTAATTTTACTTTCTAGATTGTAAGCTCTGTTTGATCAGTGATTACATTTCAAGTTTTCTAACCTTGTATTATCAGCATTTGGGGCCAGATAATTCTGGGGTCTTTTTTGGGGGGGAGGGGTACAGAGGTTCTGTGCATTGTAGGAATTTTTTTTTTTTTAGCATTGTTTCTTGCCTCTACCCACTAGATACTGGTATACCACCTCCTCACTGCCCACTCCCATCACCACATTGTGTCAATGAAAAATGTCTCCATTTGATTGACAATCACTATTGTCTTTTATGTCCTTTTCATGTTGGATATATAGTGATACTTAGAGAGTACTAAGACAGATAGTATTTTTCAGCTGAAATAGAGATTGAGAGTTTGAGGCTAACTCCTCACTACGTTCCCCCACCTCCAGTTTATAGGTTAAGTAGCATGGTAACTAAGTGGCATGAGAATAATTATACATACCAGAATTTGAGATAGAATTATGCCCAGAATTCAAGATTACCATGATTCATATCTTTACCTGTCTCTGCCATCAAATTATTATAATTTCAAGAAGCCAGAAATAAAAGATTGCTTCATTTTTAATTTCATTTTAGAAATATTTAAAAATATTTAAAATTATACAACTTCAGAGGAAGTTATTCATTTTATAAGAAGGATCTTCTGTTTCTAAAGAAATCAATATTATTATTCTTTAATATAACATGTAGAGAATGAAAACTTAGACCGAGTCTCAATTGCAACCTTGCTTCCTAATTTGTTGTTTTCAAACAAGTTACCACATTTTCAAAAGTTTTCTTTAATTTGAATTTGCAGTATTTTTTCCCTCCAAACAAAAATGTTTCAAAGTTCAGTGGAAGGATATTAAAACCTGTTAAAATTTGTACATATTAGTATTTTAGTATTATTTACACGTTGATGTATCAGCAGATAGTTACTCATCTCCTTACTTTAGTGAGGTCAAGAACAAGAGTAGGAAGGAAATGGCTCTAACATTTAAGGATCATTTATGTGCCAGACTCTGTGTTAGACACTTTTCTACATATTTTCACATTTAAAAATTCTACCTGTAGTCCTGAAAGGTGAGTTGTATCTTAAGAAGTAGTATCTTCTGAAGCAGAATCAGAGAAGTTGAATCATCCAGCATTGCACTCGATAATAAATGGAGCAGAATCTTAACCTGGGTCATTATACGTCTGCAACCTAGCCTTTGCTTGTGTGCTTTTTATTATATTGTCATTCCCCTCTAGGGGAAGCTAAGGACAGTCATTGTCAACTGAAATTCTATCAGACGTGAAGATCAAGGAGGCAAGGGGCTTTTAGGATAGGTGATATAAAAACTTCTAGATATGAAAACTGAGGTCAAAGAGATTGATAGAGTTCAGTGTGGAGCAAGGATTTTTGCTCTGAAACCTTTAAAGAGATTCACCTCATGCTGTGAGATACCATCACTATATTTATCAGTGTGTACTTTGTTTTCTTTATTGGATTTGTACATAAATAACTTAAAACAATTTGTGTGGATTGATTAATTAGTAGGATATAACTCCCTCCTCCAATCAGTTATATTCTCATGTTTTGGCAGATTTTAATCAATTTTTAGGTGAAGATGATATAGGCTTATATTTATTTGCCTCTGTAATTTGGGAAGGACAGGGTTTACTCATGTAATCTCTCCCAAATCAGTGTTTTTGCCGTCTGGGTAGTCACAATCATATTTAGTTAGAATACACTTTACAGAATTAAGTTTTAAGTTAGAGATGGGCACAAATTGTGTAGTTGCTCAAAGTTCACGTGGATATTCAGAGACAGGACCTCCAAAACTTGAATTTTCATTAGCTTTGCTGTTTATGGTACCTCTTATGAACATAGGTGTTGTTCATTGTCCAGACTGTTATGGTCACCTTCCTCCGTGTGCCTCGGGAAGAACTCTAAGGTGATAAGGGAAGACAGAGAGATTGGGGTGTTATTTTGCTACAAATTTTCCTTGTTATTCTGAATTGGTGACATATAATAAGAAACTGGACATGAAGTGAGTGTTAACTGGAGCTCAGTGCTGAGAGCCATGGCCGAGCAGTTTCCTTCTCCCCAACTGCAGTACACATATACTTGCATATACTGGAAATAGAGGAGATGACCAAGGGAGAAGTTTGGGGTAAACATGGTACACTCTGCACAAATACTAGTATAGCTTTGCAAATGTTTTATATTGTATAATGTCCACTGAGAATATTTATTCTCTCCTTGTTGCTCTGAGTATAGTATTAATTTGATGAATGTTTTTTATACTTCTGAAAGTCCTAATTCTCTATTGGCATTTACTTGGTTGTGTTTTTATTTCTTCTTTTGTCTCAAAAGATGCCATTGGAGCAAATCCTTCTCATTTTAATTACTTCTGAGGATTTCAGAATAATCATTTGAGTTTATTGGAATTATTCTAGGTTATTACAGAAGCAGAAACTTACAAAATATAAACTTGTGTTTCAATCATATATTTACTGCAGTTAATTACAATTAGTGGTTTTAAATTAAATGTAGTAAACAATAAAGGAAGAGATGGGTCTTTTTTTTTTTTCCCTAGAAAAATGAGTTAGATCTAGGAAGAAATGCTTGTCCTGGAAATAAAGTCAAAAGAAAAGTACCTGAGTACTTTAAAATATTAATAACAATAATAACCAGAATGTCTTTTAGAATGATTACTCTGGAGATAAATTTTGAACTATTCTTTTGGCATTTTTTATTTTATCAGAATATTTATTTCCTGCCATGGATTGGATTGTTAAGTAATTGATTTCAATGAGAATGTCATGTTTTTTATTTTTCTATGTGAGTTTCTTTTTAGCAATCAATTGCAACATATCTGCAAGGGCTTATATAAATATATCTATATTTTTTTAAGTAAAAGACTCATTGTTATCTAGTTTCTTAAATAAAATATTTAGAATTATTTATTCTTTTTCTTATTAAGGCCTTGCTTCAGAGTTTGGAGTTCGAGGTTATCCAACAATTAAGCTGTAAGTTAAGTGTTGTATGTTTATATGTGTATTTTTTATTAGTTCACTCTGCTTACGTTTTAGTACGTTCATTTCTAGTAAAATTTCACTGGTGGATTGAGGATTGGGTTCAGCTGCCTTTTTTTAAGATAAAATTTGTATTCAAAGGAGAGGAATGCTCTTCATTTTTAAGTCAATACATTGTTTATGGCTGATTCAATAAGTGTGTTTTGAGTGCTTACTGTGTGACATGTCCTGGGCAAGACATGATATACAGTCATAAATTATGAAATGTCTCTTATTCTTGAGATGCTCAAGTATGTATTCTGCTTTCTCTCTGTAAATCCTGTCTCCTAACAGATTTAATGATTGTATGATCAAATTTACTTCATTAGGGATAAAAGACATGAAGGGAATTAAAATTGATGGTCATTAAGTTTAATTTGTAGGTAATTGATCAAGTCTAACAGAGTGTACAAATTGGAAGAAATGGTGTGATAATTCTAAAGAGCTTTTATTTAATTTCTCAGAATATTCATTGCCCTTATGTTGGTAATGTGGATAGGTGAGAAATTGTTTTAAAAGTTATTTTTACAATGAAAGTTTTTTTTCAGTATTTTAAAATCTCAAATATCAAAATTTGAGTAACTTAAATTCATTATATATTTGGTATTATGTTGATTTCTTTCTTTCACCTTTTCAAAATGTTTGCTAAGCCTCTTTTACTTTTTGAGTTTAATTTTCCTTTCTTTTGTGTTTAATTATAGGTGTTCTGTTATACTTCCTAATTTTCTTTTTGGTAATTTCTGTTAATTAGACACACATCAGCAGGCTTTTGAAGAATTATCTAAATTTTTAGAAAAGTAAATGTATGTAATTTTTATGGTAGATATTAGAGCATATGTTAAATAACTATGATATTTGTTGTTTAAATTTGAATGGCTTTACTAAAATACTCTTAATTTCCTCCTTTTGACAGATAAGATAGAATCATAGTGCTTTGAAGCTCTTGACCATGAATATGTAGATTACTCACTTTTCAAAAGGCATAGGCTCAGTGTAATACAGAGTCAAATATTTTGTATAATTTATTAGAAAACAGCCTTTTCCTATATATTTTGAGTTGCTGATCCTCTGAAGCCAGTTGCCTGCTATATTTTACATAACTATACTACTTGTAAAAGTCTTCTGCAATTACTATTTCATGTACTTTAAGTTTATGCAATAATAGTTATTAACATTAACTATTAAAATTTAAAATAATTCATGTCCTTTTATTTTTTTACTTAAGATTAAAGGGGAACTTGGCATATAATTACAGAGGACCACGTACAAAAGATGATATTATTGAATTTGCTCACAGAGTATCTGGGTAAGTTCTTATCAGGAAAAACCTGTATTTAACACTAACATTTGAAAATTAGATATATCATAATAAACCACTTAAAATGCACATATTTTAGGGACTTAAATAAGAAGTATTTGTTTCCTGATTTATTTATGGAAGGTAGTTATGTAGCTTAAGCAAAGAGATATTTTAAAGACATAGTGTTTTGTATTACATATTTGTTAATCTCACATTTAAATTCCTTTGTGTATAGAAGAAATTTTCTAAAGTGAATTTTAATATATTTTCAAACTTTGCATTACTTACCAGGCAGTCCTCCCTCATTCATGGGTGGTACATCCCAGAACCCCCAGCAAATTCTTGAAACTGTACGTAGTACCACACCCTGTATATGCTGTGCTTTTTCTAACATATCCTTACATGTGATAAAATTTAATTTATAAAATAAGCACAGCAAAAGATTAAATCAAACAGCGATTCTAGAAATATACTGTAATGATGGTTATGTGAATGTGGTCTCTTTTCTTCTTTTTCTCAATATCTTATTCTACTTTTACCTTTTCACTTAAAGCAAATTCTATAAGGCTTATCTCTGGTATCCAAATTTCCAGCATCACTACTCTTGCACATTGAAGCCATTATCAAGTAAATTAAGAATTATTTGAACATAATCACTGTGGTACTTTCACAGTCCATCTGACAATGAAAAGGGCCGCTAAGTGACTAATATGCAAATAGTCTATACAGCATCCACATGCTGGAAAAAGGGATAACTCACACCCTTGACAGGTTGAAGTGGGATGGTGTGAGATTTCACCACACTAATTAGAATGGTGCACAACTCAAAATTGTTTATGCTGAAATTTTCTTACAACCTAATTATTGATTTGAAATTGATATTTTTTTAAAAAAATCTATCTTGCTTAGGAATAATAATTTAATGTGATTATCTATGGTTGTAATTATTTAATGTGATTATGTGGAACCTCTTGAAGAGAACATTTATCAAGCTAGGTTAATAAACATTGACTTTAAAGCATTTGAGCTTGACTGGATATATTGATATTCTAATAACTTTATTAGAATAAGATTGATTTTATTATGATATTTTATTATGATACTGTCTCAAATTATTTGAGAAAATTCACAAAATTTGAATATTTTTGTAGAAGTTTAGGATGCTTTCTGGTGTATTTATTGATTGATTGCATGTTTTATTTCCTTTCTTTGCTTTGTAAATAAATTTTGAAATAACTTTTATATGAAGGGAATGTTTTGAGGAATGGGCTTTACTCCCCCATGACTTATTAGTCTACAGGTTTTGACGGTTTTTAATGCTTTTGGTTTAAGCTTAAGAATGGCTTCTGATGTAACTTGGGTTGACTTTATTGCAACTGAAATTTCAGGAGTCAGTTCTGGAGTTGCATCACTTGCTAGTTAATTACTGAGCATTAGAATAGAGGTTGAGGAAAAGTGATGCAATGAATCCCAAGAATTGTGCATTTTGAAAATGTTTCCTTTTGCAAAGTGTTTTCTGTTCCTTTATGAATTTTGTGGGGTGAAAGTGTGACAATATATACAATTTTAAAAAGATAATTCTTCTTTTAGTTATTTAATTACATTTATAGGTGATACATTTTATAATAATTTTGATGTAATTCATTTCTGTTTGCTTTTGAAAAATACTAACAAAGCTGTAGAGTTCTGTTTTCTATCTACAAGGTTTTTATGCACTATAATGCATACTATTTTATTTTTTCTGAAAATAAGTAATAATCTGTTCTGGGAACTTGTCAGGTTTTAACCTCTGTAGATTACTTAGAAACTAACATTTAAATTGACAGAATATTATATAAATATTTTTAAATGCCGTATACTCCTGGGATGGTATTTCACAGTATGTTTTGTGAATGTTCTTTTAAAAGGGGAAAAACATTCTCATGTGAATTGTTTTTAACCAAGGGCTGTAAATAGATGATAATTCTGTTTTTACCTATCAAAATGTTGGCAGTGGTGATATTCTCTGAAGAGATATATTTGAAACTTGTTTTCCAATTGGTGGGTTAAATTGTAGGTGTATATATATTGTCAATATGTGGAAATAATCATAGTCATGGGTTGAAGCTTTATTTGCTTTATGGATTTGGGGATAATGAATTAATATATTATTAAAGCTTTTTAACTGTAGACATGACCAGCCCTCATAAGTAGGAGTAGAGTAAATTATGTACTATCTTTAGTTCATACTTGTTTTGTTTTCACACAGAGCTCTAATTCGGCCACTTCCAAGTCAGCAGATGTTTGAACATGTGCAGAAGAGACATCGTGTATTTTTTGTTTATATAGGTGGAGAATCACCTTTGAAAGTATGAAATTATTTCTTGATCTATAAAAACATACGATTATAATTAAATTTGCTTAATAGTTAAGACTTAGTCAGAGCCTCAAAATTTACTCCATTTTTACAGGAAATCTTTCAGTTCAATCTTAAGTATTTTTTGTAATAAAAACATTTTCTTGGATACCTTCTGTGGTGTTTGCTGCTCTCAACAGAAGTTGGTAACATCGGTAGATGCCACCTGCCTTAGTGTTTCTTTCATTACTGACCTGGTTATTTAAAATTCACATTGCTTTTTAGCATTGTACATCTTTAAGACTACAAATTGCAGTGTGAATATCAACTCTCTAAAGGCAAAAGGCTGTTATTGTCTTAAGTTATTTTAGGTGTGTGTGTGCTCACACATATCTTCCTTATAATCATCACTGTCATTATTATACATTGTTAATATAACTTAAATTAATATATTGAATCAAGTTTAAAATTAAATATCAAATAAACAATCAAATATATTTGGAGGAGGATATAAACACTTGGTTACAATTATCTTTTGCCCTAGAAACAACTCATTTCATTTGCTTGTATTTCATCTTTTCACTCAAAGTGCTAGCAAATTGCAACACTACTACTTACTACATAAGGTAGCTCTGATTGTTTAATGAATAATAAATGTTCATCTTTTGATATTCTAAAAAGGCCTTTTTTTTCCTCTTTATATTGTTACAGGAGAAATACATAGAAGCTGCTTCAGAATTGATTGTTTATTCATACTTCTTTTCTGCTTCAGAAGAGGTGGTTCCTGAGGTAACATTTAAAGTTGTATTTTAATGACAGTTTTATTTTTAATTTTACTTGATTTTATCTGATTTATTTATTGTGAGGCATAGAGTAAACATGTTTACTCTTTACTGCTGGTGACAGGCTGCTTATTATTAATAAACAAATATCACCAGATTCATGAAACTTAGGAATTATTATTATAGTTTTTTTTTCCTTTTTAAATAACAAAGCTGGTACAAATGATATCTCACACTCTAAGATTGTTCATAAGTAGTTGTTCATAAGTAGTAGATTAACTTGGGTCTGTGCACATGCTTGTGTGTTATACATGAAGTCTACTGTTTGGGTCCTAAGATACAGTTCTCAGTAAACAAATCTATAAACAGGATCTCATAAATTCTGTAAAAAAAAAAGCAGCAGTGTGATAGTTGGGACATAGGGGAGTGAGATAGTTGCTATAAATTGGTTAATTAAGAAATGTTTATATGAGAAAAAAATAGATAAAAAGGACTTAAGAGGATGTGAAAGAGTCATGCAAAGATAATACAAATACCAAGATAAGAACATTCCCAGCATATCTGAGGAACCAAACAATAGGCCAAAGTGACTGTGGTGATGTGAAAGAGGAGATAGGAGTGGGCACTTACAGGTGATGAGGCTAAGGTTGATGGAGAACATGGTTTGATACTCATTTTTTTTTAAATGTAGACTCTCTCTTTTTTAAAAGAAATATATATTTATATAAAACAGCAGAATGCATTCCACTCTTATTACATATATAGAGATCAATTTTTCATATCTTTGGTTGTATACATAGTATACTCACACCAGTTTGTGTACTCATATCTGTACTTTGGATAATAATGACCATCACATTCCACCATCAATAGTTACCTTATGCCCCCTCTCTTCCCCTCCCACCCCTCTGCTCTGTCTAGAGTTCGTCTATTGCTCCCCCTCCCTATTCCACTATGAATCAGCTTCCTTATATCAAAGAAAACATTCGGCCACCCTGAACATGCCCAATCTCCTCTGATGCTCATTTTAAGGACATCTGTGCTAAATACAGACTGAATTGTAAATTGGATACATAGGAAAGAAAATCCAGGGAGGTCAGTTGAACTTTTGTAGTAATCTCCAGAGTTTGGGCTTGGGGGTTAGTAAAGAACTGGGGGAAGTGAAAGGATTGGTGTGTTTAGGAGGTAGAATTGTCAGGGCTTGATGTGGAGGTAAAAGGGTGGACTTAAGGTGAGCCCTGAGTGTTTGGTTGGAACACCACAGTCAGTGGTGGTGGTATTTATGAGCTTGGGGAATGTTGGGAAGAATGGTTGGGAAGTAGAATAGTGATAAAGAACTTGAAATTTTCTTTTTAATTTGATTTGGCGTAACTTGTCAGGCATCTGATTTCAAGTGTTAAATATAACAGTTGGATATAGAGGTCTAGAGATAAGTCAAGGCTGCATGAATAAACTTCATAGACAGGAGATGGAGAAGAAAGAAACAAGTAGTCCCAGAACCCAAAGACAGCAAAGAAAAATGAGTAGAAATAACCAATAAAGTAGGAAAACAAAGGAGTAAGTAATTGTGTCACCTGCTTAGGAAGTAATCAGGGTGAGGAAGTAACCACAGTGTCCACCTGGATGTGGTTGTTTTTGAGAGGAGTAATGGGGACAGATATTATATGGTGTCATTTGAGAGATCAATGGCAGATAAGAACATGGAGACCACAGTATGAAAATTTTTGCTTTGCAGGGTACCTGAGAAATTTGACAGTAACAAGGGAAACATGAAGGATATCAAAGGAGCTTTTTTTTTAAAAACTAGTATAAGTTATCAAAATGTTGAAATATTTTTATTTTCACAAAGGTAAGTCATATTATACTTGTAAATATTTTTAAAATGTCTTAATGTTTAAATATTTTGATGTAAGAAGATTACAGACTTACCTAGAAGCTACGTTTAATGTTTCCTGCAATGTGTATGCAGGTGTTTATGCTATAAATATGTACTCTGATCTGATTTTCAACTCCTTAGAGTACCGCAGGCAGGTTTTGGTCAATCTAAACTCACTTTTAGTTTATGTAGTTAGGTGTAATTCAAGTTATTTTGCAACGTATTCTTTGTTTATACTTTTACTTTTGGCAGACAGGGGAAGATGGAATGGAAAAAGGGCCAACTTTGCCATCAGATCTCAAACAAGTGACTCAAAAGGTTACGTTTACGTATGGAATGCCAATGTGTGATATAAAGCCTAAAATGAACTTGAACTAGAACTTCTAATTGTTATCTCCTAAGTCCAGTGGAACATTCTTTTTAATATTAGAGTGTCTGTGGTGAATCCTTATCTATAGAGTCTTCTTAGCACTTTCTCTTAGACACCAGGGCTCTGAGTAGGCACAGATAGCATCTGCTACATGAGCACACTTGGTTATTATGTATTACGGTTGATGTTGTTATTAGCTCTGATAACTAGTTTCTTTAAGCAGTTTTAAATTATTTCTGGAAATATCAGTCTTTGTCATCTCTTAGTTCTGAGTATCTAGTTGGCAAAGAGTGCTTGGGGAAATAATCGTTATTGCGAAATATTATAAGGAGTTTTACTCCAGTAGAGAGAAATCTAAAAAGTCCATGATTTTTATAGTTCATTCATATTTTGAATATTAGTGTTTTGCCAGAGTTTTATTACCTTTACAGTTAGGATTTATGAAAATTCTAGTTGGTGTTGTAGGAGGATAAGAGGGGTGAATTAAGATAGTTTCTGACTTCAGAATACTTAAATGTGTATGGAGAAGAGTGACATGTAGACAGATGACTGCAGTATAAGATAGTGAGTTTAAAGGAGCACAGGGGAGAAAAGTCGATGGAAGTATGTGATCCTGGATAGGTACAAGTCTTCAGACTCCTTTAGTCATGTTCTAGGACAAACCATTCATATGTCTTTGAAAGAGAGACATGCTGAATGTTGAAAAATTATTTCATACATCTGTGTGGGTCAGTTGACAAGAGCAGGTAAATGGGGCATGTGGATTATAGAGCCCCACCTAAGAGCTTTACCACTGCCTGTAAGTAGGTGTTTTTTAAATTTATTTATTTTTTTCTGATGCTATATCATTTTTTTAGTGGTAATGTAACCAAATCATTGTATCTTATCTTCTCCTTCCCTTTATTTGTAATTACTTTCATTTTGCCATGCTCATAATAATTCTCAGTGGCTTTATCTTCTGATCTCATTCTGATTCTCTACTATAATTTTACTCCTTTAAAATTAGTACCATGTAGGTATAAGAAGCAATTACTTCCTGAATGAATTCATTATTATTGAGACTGTTGTAAAACACTTTATAGTTTAAACATGCTCTCATTCATTATCTAATAGAACTCATAAGTGCCCTGTAGGGGGAAGTGGTCTGAATGTCCTTATCTCACAGAGGAGGAGGCAGATTCCTCTAGAAAAAATGTTTGGCTCATTATCACACAACTGGTGAGTGGCTGGGAAGATCAACCCAGATGGGCTGATTGGCACTGTGCCCTTGCTGTTCTGCTGAGTGCTGTGATTCCCATAATGGTACCTTTAGGTCTGTTCTCAGTTTTAAGAATAAATCCATTGTTTTCACCATTGTCAACTGGACAGTGTGCCAGTGTGTGTAAGGAAATTCAGACCCAATCTTTAGGTGAATCTTGGATTGATGCTACTTTTTTAACTTTGAAATGTTTTGATAACTAAATTCCTAACTTACCTTTCTCTTGGCGGGGGGTGGTTTGTGTAAGCTTGTGCAATGCACACTTGGTATCTTTCAATACTTGAAACCATAGCTATCAATTAAAATTTTTTAGTGATAAAAGTTATTTACATTTCTGATGTTTTGCAGTATGTGACCCTAAAAGAGGTGCCCGCTGTGCTTGTTTTCAAAGATGAGAATTACTTTGTTTATGATGGTAAGTTCCAACGTTTTAATCCATGCAGAACATTTTAAAATTATATGCTGTATATTGTCTATTACAGGAGGTATTGATAAGATTTTTTAATAGTTGAATGACTAATGTGTTTTTGCTCTTCAACTTTAGTTTTTCCATTTCTTATACTTTTATTCTGAATTTAGAATAAAAAAATTAAAAAATAGTAACTTTTGTCAAATTATATGACATTTTGACAAGTAAACCATATGCAATTTCTATACATTGCTTTACAAAAATGTTCTGAATTAATTTTAGCCAATACCTACCTAATATTTCAGATATATAAAAAGATGAAATAATAAAACATCTTCCGTAGTAAAGCCTTCATAAATTCCTTTCCAGCTGCATCTCTCCCTCATCAGAGAAACCCATTCATTGAACAAATACTTGATCTGTTTTAAAAAGTATTATTTTGATGTCAGATGTACATTATAAAGAGAATGATATGATGAAATCCTGCATACTTATCAGCAAGGTTTCCCCCCCCCAAGCACAGAACTAAAAAATGTAACTAAAGGAAAACCTAACCCTCTTTATATATTAAAAACAAACAAACAAACAAAAAACCCCAAGAGACATTTTATAAACTCCTGAAAAATAGTAGCTGCAACATTATTTAAAATAGCAACATAAAAAATGGTAAATAGTTGAATCCCCTAACATATATAATAAAATTCATAACCCATTTACTTGAAGCACTATACAAAAGCAGGAACAGAATCTCTAATATATGACAGTTAAAGACATAACATGATGCAGAGAGAGTTAACTTTAGCCACTTTTTTTTTCTTTTTTATTATTTTATTTATTTTAATTAGGTATATATGACAGCAGAATGCATTTGATTCATTGTACACAATTGCAGCACAGCTTTTCATTTCTCTTGTATTTATCAAGAATACAGTAAGTTTTGGTGAGGATGTGGGGGAAAAGGCACACTCATACATTGCTGGTCGGGCTGCAAATTGGTAGAACCAATCTGGAAAGCTGTATGGAGATTCCTTAGAATACTTAGAATGACCATCATTTGACCCAGCTATCTCACTTCTTGGTCTATACCCAAAGGGCTTAAAATCAGCATACTATAATAACACAGCTACATCAATGCTCATGGCTCAATTCACGGAAGCTAAACTGTGGAACCAACCTAGATGCCCTTCAGTAGATGAATGGATTAAGAAACTAGTATATATACACAATGAAATATTACTCAGCATTAAAAAAGAATAAAATTATGGCATTTGCAGACAAATGGATAGGGTTGGAGAATATCATGCTAAGCGAAGTAAGCCAATCCCAAATACCAAAGGCCAAATTTTTCTCTGATAATTGGGTGCTGATTCATAATGGGGCGAGGGCATGGGAGAAATGGAGGAACTTTGGGCAAAGGGGAGGTGGGGTGTTGGAGGGGGGTTAGGGAGGGTGAATGGTGAATAGGTACAGGAAAGATGGTGAAATGAGATGGACATCATTACCCAAGGTACATGTGTGACTGCACATGTGATGTGATGCTACATTGTGTACAGTCAGCAAGGTTTTTTACCACATTTACTTTAGCTGTTTTGGGTTTTTTTTCCCCTTCTTGAAATATTTTAACGCAAATCCCAGTGTTATTTTATCACTTTGGTGCTTCATATACCAGTCTTTTAAAATGTGAGCCATATGTCTTAGATAGCCTCATGCTGTTAGAACAACTAGGATGATTATAATTCCCTAATACCATCAATTCTACCCCCATGGTTCCCAGACTGCTGAGTACTGTAGGTAGTGCCCCTGACTACCTGGGACCCCAGGAGATAATTTAAATTTCAGGGGAAGGGGAAGAACAAGACATCTGTTGGACACTACATAACTGCTCCAAGGTGAAAGTAAATGCAGTCTTAGCAGCCATCTCAGTTAAAGTTTAACAAAAAATTGAGTTTCTCATTCTCACTAGCCAGTGACTTGTGGCTACTGTGTTGGAGAGCACAAATATGGAGCATTCTGTTCACTACCAGAACATTGTGGAGTGTGGTTGTTTTTCTTGTTGAATTATACTATGGAACAGAAAGGAAACCAGAACTAGTTGAGAACAATAGACCTTGAATTTCTTAATTCAAATGTAACAGAAGAGTATCCAGTGAAAGAATGTTTTTAGTTAAAAGGAACATTTTCTTTTGATAGTCATATGAAAGTTGAGCATTTCTAGTGTTAATTATCTTTAATTACAAGAACTGAATTTAGTTTCTTGTAGTAGAAGTGTATAGAGGGCATGCTATCTCTCTACTTAACCTGATGTTGTCCTTTTATCCTCAAAGTAATCTGTGAGGGAGTTAATATGGCAGATTGATTAATGTCCTAAAATTCAGGGCAGGTAACTGATAATGTTAGATGGTAGAGGCATGTACAATTAGTTTTTTATGTGGAGTGTTCAGTCATTCATTAGAATGTTTATTAAATATCTATGTTAGACATCAAGCTTAAAAAGGAACTTAAGAGGAACTTGCATATGTGAAAAGAGAGGGAGATAGTTTGTATCTGTTCTGTCTACTCTTTGATTATAGTTCTCCTTGCATAAGCATTTTCTGTATATTATTTATTAAAATAATCATTTAAGATTAATATTCTTAGTAATTTACAAATTGATTAAAGCATGAAGAGATTTTTTTTCCCCAAGTTAAAATGTGTAGTCATTGGGATCAATGTTGGTCACACAAATTTCTTATTCTCATCTTATATGAGTTTCTTAACAACGTAGAAAGCAACTTTGTTTCTTTGTTTTTTCTTGGGGGGAAGACATCAATTTAGATTTAGATTATTCTTTGAGTCTGCATAAGAAAGTACCCTATTCTCATTTCTCTGTGTTTTCAGCTGTGGAGACTTCTATGCTTGAGACAGGATTAACGTGAGGTTTCTACATTTATAAAGGCCAAGCTTTTCTAACATGGAGTAGATGGTATTTAGAGCCTGCTTGGAGCCTTCAGATAGACCAGGGGTTATCCATTAAATATTTATTTTAATAATTATTGATAATATGTTTAGAAGCATTGGGTTAAGGGTTTAGGAGGATGGTTTATTTTCTAATGAGTTTCCAGTTTATCACTTTGAGAAATCTGTACAAAATTTGCTTTTGACATAGAGTGAAGATTGTGGCCCAGAAAGCAACTTCTAGTTTTAGGTTTACTTTTCTGATTTGTAAGTCCAAATGCATACATACTTTCAGATTTGCATTATACTACTTATTTTATATTTTGATAACTTGAAAATGTTTGTTTAGCAATGCAAGTGACATAAAGCATACCTTTCAAGAAGTCAGTAAAATACAGTTTTCGGCCAGAATTATTGATAGGCTTTAAAAGATGTTTACAATTGGCTTTTTTTTCATACAATTGTAATTACTTCAGAATTACTTGAATTATATTTTTAATCAGGATATAATATTTCTTTTGAATATTATCTTCTGTATCTGCTTTCCACAGGAAGAATTTGATGTTGGAAAAAAGCTGTTATGCTCTGGTTTTATGTGTGTGTTTAAGCTGTACATACAAAAAAGATTTCTAAACTAAGAAAAATTCATAAAATAGAGATGAGCAAAAAAATTGTAATAAAAATGCCATCCATCATACAAGCGAAGGATAACCATTTAGGAGTACATGCTTTTATTTATTTATTTATTTATTTATTTATTTATTTATTTAGAGAATTTTTTAATATTTATTTTTTTGTTTTCGGTGGATACAACATCCTTTATTTTTACGTTTTTTTATGTGGTACTGAAGATCGAACCCAGCACCTTGCGCATGCCAGGCGAGCGCGCTACCTCTTGAGCCACATTCCCAGTCCCTATGCTTTTATTTTGCCTTTGTTACTATCTTGTTTAACTTTGCAAAGTTAGTTATAATACTTATTCATTTATATTAAAATTTATTAAATTTTTAAAATTTATAAATCATCCTTCCCAGCATGTACCAATATGCACTTATTTTGATTTAGGACATTTCAATTGTTTTTCTTACTTCAAATTATTTTTTGTTGTTTTAGTGATGTTATAAGTTGCTTTGTGCTTTAATCTTTTTGTTACATCTGATTGCTTGCTTACCATAAATTTCTAAAAGTACTGTTTATGGATTTAAGATTATATTCTTTGTCAGATATTTTATATGTATTGTCAGATTAAAACATTGCAACTTTGTTAAACATATTGGTACTACAATTTAGTCACTTTGTTTTGTTTTTAAGAATATGAAGATGGTGACCTGTCAGGATGGATCAACAGGGAGAGGTTTCAGACTTACCTTACTATGGATGGCTTCCTCTTGTATGAACTTGGAGACACAGGTAACAAGCATATGTACAGTCTTCATTACTCTTTGGGATTCCTTAATTGACTAAAATCGATTTCTAAAAGAAATGGATCATTATCTCCGTTTCATGAAGTAAACTTGAATGTTAGTACTGCTTTTGAGAATAGAAACTTATTACCAAATATACTTGTGGGGGGCAGGTCAAAGATTAGCTAAATACAGGGCTTACTAATCAAACTGATGACAGGAAGTCAAAAGGCCTGGATAGGAAGGGATTTGAAAAAGTTATCTACCAAGAGGCTATCCACAGGTTTTGTATAGGAGTTGAAGTAAAACTTATCAGAACCTTATTATAAGGTCTACTTGTACTTGTGGTGGGTGGGGGAATGAATCAAACTGGCAATTTCTTAAAGTTACATGATTAAAAATGACAGACAAAGCAAATATGGCATAAAAATGGAAGTTACAAGAAGTTAATTACATAGTTTTATAGATGCAAACTGCAAAACTTATAAGTTTTAAGGAGAATCGTTTTGTAAATATACAGCAAATGAGAAATCATGGATTCTCTTGCCATTTTTGTTTTAATTCACAATGTTAAGATTAAGCCTTCTGTAAATAGCCTAGTGTCTGGCACATTATTTGGCACTCAGTAATTGGTAAATTAACATGAAAAACTGTTCCTGTGTTTCTTGAATCTTTTTCGTACATGGGAAGATCCCATACATGTTGTAGACATTGTGAATAAAGGAAACTAATGAGGCATGTAAAAACTAAGAAGCACATGGTAAAAAAGCAAACACTGAATAGTAAGTGAAATATTTTAAGAATGGAAATAATCACTGTGAACTAATGTTTTCAGCAGAGTGTTAAAAGTATTCAAGATTGTGTGGACTTTAGAGATAAGTGTAAGCAACATTGGGGGCAATAGAAGCCATGTTTAGTGTGAGGAGGATGTTGAAAGACTATTAACTTAATCTTGCTTTGTATACCTGCTCAGAGCCACATAGTATCCCAGTATTTTTGTGTATATAATCTCATTTTCCTCTCAATGACTCTATAAAATAGATACTAATTTCTTGGAGTAAACTGAAGCTTGCTGAAGTTGTTACATAGCTAATACTCAACTGAACCTTACCATTGCTCTCCCAGGGCTTGAATAGTGCCAAGAACATAATGTCCAGCACTGATGATTATATCATGCTAATTCTCCTAGAGCTTAATCACATACATTTGATTCATGTTCTATTTAAGATTAACATGAGACATTTAATTCTGTTTATTATTACTGGCAAATAGGCTACATAAAAACCATCTTACTGTTACATTCATTTTCTTTTTACTAACAACTATAACAATTCTTAGTAAACTTTTTACCAATTCACTTCTTATGGTTTCAGCTTTTAATAAAAAAATTTATCTTAATCATTTTGTAGGTAATGTGAAAACACAATTTGGGTATATAAATTGTTAATAGATTTACTATTAACATTTTGTGAGTGAGTGCTTGGAGAGAAATTATCACTTGAAGTTGACTAATTCACTGGTTCTCTCTGATTCAAATGCATGTTATACTATAATGTGCTAGTTTAAGGAAGTTTAACATGTACGATAATTGTAATTAAATTTTAAAAACATTTTTGCTATAATTCCTTATTCTCAATGAAAATGATAGTTTAAAAGTTGTTTAAAAAGAGTTATTGAACTTAGATATGTCATTCTTAATTTCAGGAAAGCTTGTGGCTATTGCAGTTATTGATGAGAAAAATGCATCAATTGAACATACCAGGTATAGTTGCCTTGAAATAGTTTTAAGCTTCTAATGTCATCTAATTCAGACTACATGTGGCTTTAAGTCAACTTGATACAGTAGTATTTTACTTTTACTACTGCCTTTAAACAAGGTGGAAGCTATTTGATACTTATATGTTTCAAGTGATGAATTGAAATATTTATGTATTTGTTCTACAGATTAAAGTCAATTATTCAGGAAGTTGCAAGAGAATACAAAGGCCACTTCAGTAGGTATGTGCTTACATTCTGGAAGATTTACTTATTTTTGTTTAGTTTTATTTTGTAATATAGTAAAGCAAAAGTGGTAGTATAGTTTGAGCATCCCTAGTCTGAATATTGAAATGCTGTAAAATATAAGACTTTCTCAGCTCTGACATGTCACTTCAAATGGAAAATCTCACATTTGACTTCATTTGATGGGTAACAGTCAAAATGCAGGTGCACTTAACATATTGTGTCACATTCCCTTCAAGCTGATTGAGGTGTGTAGGAAACAAATGAATTTCATGTCTGGATTTGGGTTCTGCCTCCCATATATTTCATTATGTATATGTAAATTTTTCAAAATGATAAAAAAAAAATCTGAAGCATGACTGGTTGTGAACATTTCAGGTAAGGGTGCTCAGTCTGTATTCTGGACTTCCCAAGGTAAATTAGGGAACTGAAGTAAATGGTAGCTTGTAGCATTTCAGAGTTTTCTGGATCTTGAAATTGATTGATAGTATGTCTTACAAGTTAGGAAAAGAATGCAGCCTTATTTATAATTTGTATCATACCTGCTTCCTTATAGTATTGAGACAGGTTTTATGGAAGGAAATAGATGCTCAGATATTCATAAATTTGAGGTTATGTTACGTGAGCTGTCAAAAGTTAGAACAAAACTATAAAGATAATTGTAACAAGAACTCAAAGAATAACAATATAAAAATATCATCAGAAATACTTTTGCTATTTGCCAAATCATTCTGTATGTTGTTGTCAAAAAAGACTGAGGGTCTGGAGTTGTGGCTCAGTGGTAGAGCATATGCCTAGCATGTGTGAGGCACTGGGTTCAAAAATAAAAATAAAGGTATTGTGTCCATCTACAACTAAAAAAAAAATGTAAAAAGATAATGTGTATTTTTATATTATTTGATTTTTATTATCTTATTCCAAATCTAGTGAAAGGTTAGTAAGCCTACAAAATACACAGTAGGTTGTATCTTCTGAATGGTCCAGTTTTAGAGTAAACAGGTATTTTATCTTAAAACATATTTCTGTTAGACAGGATTTTATTTCCATGCATCTAACCATTTATAAATGGAGATGTCTTAGAATTTGTTAGTGCTACTCACATATTTGTCTCAAAATCCAGTAGAAGTCAGATTTCCTATGTATGTATATTATGTGATTCATTCAGTAGATATTTACAGCTTATATACTTATCGAGCCCTGAAGCTATTTGTTGTATTGGTTGGCTTTTTTTATTTTTTTATTTTTTTAAATATCAAGCTCTTGGTTTTTGTTGTTGTTTGTTAGGGATTTTCAGTTTGGCCACATGGATGGAAATGACTACATCAATACCTTGCTGATGGAGTGAGTAAAGTGCTGGGTGATTTTGCTATCACATCTTTAAATTTGTTTTTGAGAGATAGGTTTAACAGTTAAAAAAAAAAAAGCTGTTGGTATATTCTGATGACAGCAGTCTTTTCATTATTTAACTTTAGTTTCTAAATCCTGTATATGAAACTTACTGTGTTTTAATATTGCTGTATACTAAAAATATTTGTCTCCCAGCTCAGTGTTATAATTCATACTATTCTGAAATGACATTATTCAGAAACTCTGACTTACATACTTTAACAAGTTCATTTTTAATAGGTAGTTATGACTATTAAATATAAAATTTTGAACATTCAAGAACTAACTGCAATTATACAAGAATTTATTTTAATAGATTAAAATAACTATGTAGGAAAAAAATGTAATTTTATAATTATTTAACCTAGTATGTTTTTGTAACTATTTGATATTAACTCTCTCATTCTAATAAGGATTTGAGAGTAGTTTGCCAAACTATGTTGTGGACCAGATATAGAATACAATGAAATCAAGAGAATGAAAAAGCACAGTTTCTCTGTAGAGTATTTGAAATAGCTGACCCTAAATTTTTTAATACTTAAAGTGGAAAAACAGTTTTTTTTATGCTCTCCCATTGTTATAGGATACCTGTTGGTTTTAGGAAGTATATGGTTGACCTCATCAACCTAAGAGAAGTTTATGAACGGGACACTCTGCAATAGAATTATATTTTCATGTCCCAGGATACAATTTGCCTTGTTGAGGGTTCCAAGTACACTTGAAAAATACATGTGTTCTGATGTTGTTGGGTAAAGTTCCTACACAGTGTGACAAAGGGAGAACAGAGAATTTGCAATAGTGTTTTCTTGACTACGTATGATAAGGTACATGCAGAATGCTAGGCTTGAGTTATCTCGTATAATTTTTGTAGCATTGCCTGCTTTGTTCCAAATGAAAAATGTTGTGTGTGTGAAGCTTAGTTACTTGCCTGACATACTGTAACTTTCAGGGAAAGCTCCAGATTTGAACATTCGAAGTGGGCCTCAGAGGCCACACTCTTAGCCTGATTTTCTGAATGCTGTGTAGCTAAGGTGGGTTGTGTATGATTAACAATGATAGTATTTGAAGTGGACTTATGACAAGGAAGAATCTGTCCCAGCAATTGACATATCATATATCATAATGTTTATCTTTACATTTAATCATGATTACTCAGCTCTCTGTTATATTATACATTAGAATGTTTTTCATATAATTTAACTTATATAATAAATTATATATTATTTCATATAATTTTAATTTCAAATTGATACACAATTTGAAATTATAGGTGAAGCTATTGATACAGCTTCCTTTTTCCATAATTATTGAGATATAAAAATTCCAGAATATTTGTTATCAATATGTTTAATGTTTATTTGATTTCTTTTTATGTTTTCAGTGAATTGAAAGTCCCAACTGTAGTTGTACTGAACACATCAAACCAACAGTACTTTGTGCTAGATAGACAGATTTCAGATGCCAAAGACTTGATCGAGTTCATTAATAACATTTTGGATGGCTCAGTAGAAGTAAGTGGTTCAGTTCTCTTTCAGAGGAATGATAGGAAGTAGAAGAGAAGCAAGTTGTTTTCATACTTCTGATTCTGAAAGGAATAGCAGGCCCTTGCTGAGGGGTGAGAGGGAACATTCTTCCATGTGATGGTCTCTCCTTTCATAGGCATTGTCACATTCTCTCAGACATAGAAGATCTTCTATGGAAGTAGCTAACAGGTGGGAATGCCCCATTGGAGGGTAATTTGGAGACATTTGGGGTGCCACAGTGATGGGGGAGGTGATACTGGCTTTTAGAGTTGGCTCTGAATGCTCAGAGGTCCTATATTGTGTGAGGTAATCCCTGACTCTAAATACTGCTTAGTTCCAAAAGGACCATTGAATTAAGTTATGAGGATGACTTTTCTAGGAAAATTTGTGAAGAAGACTCTAGTTTCTTAAGAGGTAAGGATATTCATTAAGAATCAAACCCCTGTGGAGAATTTCAGATATAATCTTATAAAATATATCTCAGAAATCTATTCACTTAATAGATTGCCTTAGTAATGTATTGTTTTTTTGTTTTTCTATAAATCTTAAGTTGGTTGCCACCCTTAGCATTAAAGGATCATGTTTTTCCTTCCAGGTCACAGGTTGTAACTAGCACATATCTTAATAGACTCAAAGAAAATAAGAGACTTTACTGCTTTCATGAAGTTTAATTATTATTATTTTCTGTAGATTTTCATTTTAGCTTTACACAAACCTTATTGAAACATAATATGCATATCTACCTTGCATCAAAGTCGAGAAATTTGTAAAGCCCTCTTAATCACATAGTGGAATTTTATGTTTGCAGAAATAGTATTTTGGTTCAAATGAAACTTGTCTGTATGAATGAGAACCCTTCCATTGTAAGTGAGCGAGCGGATGGCTTGAACTGTTTAATAACACAGAGATTACACTGGTCCTCATAGGTTGGTGATTCAGAGTGGGCCAGAGTTCTTGGATGGCTGAGAGCAGGGATTGGATTGATTTTCATCAGGAAGTTTTTTCTCTTTGCCTTTCAGCACTTCCTTTTGAGCTTTATCCTCAGGGAGACTTTCCCCAAATGATAACAAAGGTATCCTATAGTAGTTCTAGTTCAGCAGTCCCAGATCTAAACTCAAAAATTGGGCATGCCTGGATTTGGGGAGTAGGTCAGGTTCAGCTAAGCTGCATGGATTATGAATAGGAGAGAATTAAATTCTTCAGAAGAGAATCGGGTTGTGTTAACACAAGAAGACAAAAAAAAAAAAAAACCAGCAAATGTGTTAAAATGGCTTTTTCAGGTGTTTTATGAAACATTTTATAGTCAACCTTTTGGCCTCCGATAACATTTTAATTTTTGTTTTCTTATTAAATTGAAGGCCCAAGGAGGTGATAGCATTTTGCAGAGATTGAAAAGAGTACTATTTGATGCCAAGTCTACTGTTGTGGTAAGTTGGACAGTTTGTTTAGTGTCATTGGAAGCTTAGAAAGTATGGGTTCTTCATGTCTAATGAGAGTGAAATAGAGAATTTCAAAGGATTTGTTCAAAGTGTGTCTTCAATTTGAAAGGTATGAACTGCATCCATCATAGAAATTAAGTTTCTTTTTTTAATATTTATTTTTTAGTTTTCAGTAGATACAACAACTTTATTTTTATGTGGTGCTGAGGATCCAACCCAGCGCCCTGCGCATACCAGGCGAGCGCGCTACTGCTTGAGCCACATCTCCAGCCCCAGAAATTAAGTTTTTCTAATTATTTCCATATGATTGAAGAGATTACTGAAATTCAGAATCACTAAATGCACTAAAAAACTATTCCTCCAACCTACTGAAAATTTAGATAATAGGAAATTTTTATTTCTACTAAGCATTGTTTCCTGTGAATTGATCATTTTTGTTGAAAAAAAAATGTCTCAAGAATTCCTTTTTTTTTTTTTTTGCAATATTCAAAGTAAACTTCCAGATCTTAAAGTTTTAGGCATCCCTGTGATTTGTATAGTTTACCCAGATATTTTCTTTTATAGTTTCATTTTCGAAATATGTTTCCTCAGCTTTATTCACTCACTTCTTACCTGATTTTTTCTGCCATTCTAATTTCCATCTGTTTTTACCATATGAAACTTCCATGTAGTCTCACTGATAGCCTGCTGATAGTTGAGTCTTCTGGTGTATTCCTTTGGATTTCTTCAAGGAATCTCTTCTTCGTCATTCTCCTTTCCCTGCTGCTGTGATACTTACTACTTCCCCCACCTCCACCCCATTTCTCCAATAATCCATGCCTTTCCAGTGTCTCTTTCTGTTGCCCACTTGAGTCCTTGGAGCTGAGCCTTCTTGCTTGTAAGTGTATTCTAAAAGCTCATTCTCATTCCCCAGCTTCAATTCTTAGTCACTTTGACAGTAGAGCATGTTAAAATTTGCTTGAGGCCTAAACTTAGTTTTAATTATCTGTCATGAGCCATGCCATCAGCATTTTCACTCTTCCTAGCTGAAAGCAGGCACGCAACTATAGCTAGCCTTCTCTATTCTGAGAAGTGACTCTCATAATCTGTGGCTTACCATGCATAGCATACTGTTTCTTCAGTTATCAGTGGCATTTCTTAATTTTCCTGTTGCCACTAACATGGATTAGACATTATCAAACTATTTCTCCTCTTTACCTGGTCTGGACACTTATTGGTCTCCATTCCATTATGTAAACCACTAATGCTTCTAGAATAATCAACTTTGGCCATTGTTCATCCTTTTTCCAGGGATGCACATCAGAATGTGAATGAACTCTGTCCATCTAAAATACTTTCTCATTGTTTTTAAAATGTTGCACAAAGTTTCCTGGATCTAATTGCAAGTACTCACATTATGCCTTGTTCTGCCTCTTTCTTCCTTTTCCTATTTCTACCTCAAAATATACCCTGACTCTGTGTAGCCTTCTTCTGTTATCTTAATCCAAAATAATGATCTTTCTGAACTTGTGGATATTGTTCTTGTGAGTTACAAATGCAACCCATAAAATACAATGTAGTGGAAAAAACATTTTGTAAAATTACTTTTGTTTTTGTGGGAGCTAAGGAGATTACATATAACATGAGGGAAACTAATAAGTGAATGATGCTTTACTGCTTACCAGATGAATAATAAATGATAAAAACATCATGTGAAGGGAATATGTATATACTCTCTTCATGGTAAATAACTCCGCCTTTGCCATGAGCATCAGATTTCTATAGTTCAATGAATAGCTCAAAAACTGGCAGGCATAGTAATCACCTTAAAGAGACCTTTCAGTTAAAATGAGAAAAATGAGTTTTTTAAAAAGGGATTTAAGCAATTTGGTACACACACACACACACACACACACACACACACACACAAGCATGTGTGTGTGCATATTTACATGCATGGATGCTGAATCTCTCTCTTATGGTGTCTTTAGCATGGTAGTTATTGTTTAAGTGTTGACATTTAAATATTGATACTTCAAGAAAGTTGCTAAGCAACAAGAAGAAATTTGCAGTGGTTTTAAATTTATTGTGTGCTTTTTATATCAGAATTACATCTGAGGGCAACTGAGTTTTAATTATCTTTCCTCAGTCGATATTCAGGAGCTCGCCACTTATGGGCTGCTTTCTCTTTGGCCTGCCACTGGGTGTCATCAGTATCATGTGCTATGGAATCTACACAGCTGACACAGACTCAGATGGAGGTTATATGGAAGAGCGATATGAAATGTCTAAAAGTGAATTTGAAATCCAAGAACAGCCAGAGGAGAACACAGATCAAGAGCCAAACAGTGGAGATTCTACAGCACCTACTGCCCAAGAGCCCAAGGATGTGTTAGAGAAAAAGAAAGACTGAGACTTGACGAGTATAAAACATTTGATAGGATTTCAAATCATTAAAGAGTCTATTTATTGGATATAGATATTTAATCATGATCTTTACAGAAGAGAACATGTTATTTGTACTTTGCTAATATCAACTGCATGGATTCAAGTAGTCCTTCTACAAAGGGGGAGATATTTGGAGTAAAGAAACGGTGTATCTAAAACAAACAGAATCAAACCACTCCATCAGAGTTTACCTTATAGATGTTATTATAATAGGTCAGTTTTATTTGCATGTTTCTCTATCTGAATATTCTGTGACAAAGTTAGGATTCTTGGAGAGAATATTTAAATTGGTCATTCAGGTAGAAAATACATGTCTGATAGAGAAAAAATAACACATCTACCTACAGCTGTCCATTCTCATATATTTTGCATAAGATTTGTATGGACAATGTAAGTCTTTAATAAAAGTTAGGCACTTTAAGGAAAACTAACAACTTTTTCCATGTATCACATTAAGATTACAAGGTTAAAAGTGATGTGGTTTTATATATAGCATAGTGCTTTTATTTTGTTAGTTATTTTTAAAGGAGAGGAAATGTTACTTTTTAACTTTATACTTGGTTTCATTATTATAAAATTTTCATATGAGCCTGTATAGTGTGTGGGGGGAGTTTTGTGGTTGATCTTTGCAAAATAACCAGGTTGTGCAGGGAACAGTAACTTCAGCCCGTTCCTGGGAATGCTCTCTAACCAGTTGTCTTCATCAGTCATTCCAGGAAGGAAAGGAGCTATGTCAATCCTGTCTTGCTTAGCTTTAGCCAAAGCAGTTTAGGATTTTTGTATTCTTTCTTTTTTATTTTGTATATTGAAATTTCTTCTAAAATTTCATTTGATTAAAAAATCTGGCTTTTGAAAAGTAATATATCATATTTTTGTTTGTGGTAATTTTACTTTATAGCAATTTAAAATCTGAATTATCGCACATCTATTTTGTAATGCCATTATGAACACATGTTCATAATGAGTAATGAGTGACATAATTAGCATGTCAAGCAGTGTGTCACGCACAGTGAGAAAAATAGAGATGGCTGGTTACTTTCTCTGTTCTCTGAGTTCTGTCATCCATTTCAGTGAGTATCTCTAATTTCATTTATAATGAAATAGTGTAGGAATTCTAACACAGTAATATCTAAAAATTGGTATTTTGCAGTAAGCTTGATATGCTTATTGTGGATTAATTTGTTATTTTTGAGGCCTTTGTTTACGTAAGTTTGGAATTTTTACTAGGTAACTTATTTAAGTACTTATTCTTTAGTTTTATTATCCATTGTAAAGATTGTCTTGATTGTATTAAAAATGTTTAATCATTTTAAAAATATGTAATTTATGGTCCTTACACTGAAGTTATTTAGGGCTTTGATTGCCAAAGGCAGCTTTTGGTTGTTTCTGATGCCATACTAATCTGGACTAACTGAAACTCTTGTATCTTAAATGCTGCAGAATTACAAATAATTGTTTTGTTGTGTTCATGTGTTCTTTTAGCATATAATAATTAAATATCCATCTTTAATGTTTGACCCCTTATTAACTTTTTTAATAATGAAATAAGTATGTAGTCAGAGAGAATTTCAGAAAATACTAAAATGAAAAGTTCTCAAATGGAAATTGGACATAAATGCTGGTAATTCAAAAAGGAGATTCCTCTGCATAGAATACAGAGAGTATCTTTGGGAAGATAATAATGTTCCCAGTGATCAGACTGGTTTTGCAGTAGAAAAAACTTAGATAAGTATAGAGCCTCATTTAAGACTCAGTTTAGTAAAGAAGTGAAATAAAATTACAGAAAATGTCACTGATTTTTTTTCCTTCATGTTTATCACTATCAGATGTTAGTTTGCATATTTTTGTGTTATTAGTCATCACCTATACAGAACACCTCTGTAGGGAAAAGAGTAAAGTTCAAGAAGCAAAAATCCAGTGATGATCCTTTGTATTCTGGGACATGGCCCTTTAGTTCATGGCCTTAGATCTCTGTCATCCTTTGCACAACTCTGTGCTCTTGCCTCATGTGCTCTTTGCACATTTTAAGTGTGTTTATTGAGAAAACAAAATGTGTAGGTTGTTTGATAAGTGAATGTTTTTTTTTCTTTTTGTATTAAAATTTTGCTTTTAACTTGTTTCTGTTTTAGAATATTACTTTGTCAGATTCCTCACCAAAAAAAAAAAAAAAATGGTTCACTTGTGTGCTTTTTCCCTTCAATGTGATTATCAGAGCTTTACTCTGAATGCTGTTTTCATTTCAGGAAAAATTATTTAAAAATAAAGGTGTATCTCTTAATAATTAAATCTGGTAGACACAGTGATAATTCAGATGATGAATTACATGATTACATATCTTTAATAGAATCCTTCAGGAAACTGGAGTCCCACTTTCTCTTTCAGTTGCAGCAAAGTTCCATATCTATTTTCTGGAATTCAAACTTCTAGATCCTTGAACAATATTACCAATATTCCAGAGGGAAAGTGCATATTTTTATCATGTACCCTGTGCACCCCATGGTAGCGCACAACCTTTTTTGTTTCACTGTATGCATCAGTATTTCTCTAGCTACTGTCTGAAACTTGTTTGAAGGATATTAAATCTGGAATTTTCATTTTCTTCCTCACAGTGCTTCCTGGTATCTGATTTAGAAATAACATTTAAGATGCCAAATGTTTTAAGGTTGAAGGAAGGGTCTATGTGAGTAGTTAAAACAGCTGTTTGGTGGATTTTATTGTTAATGATGTTCCTTGTGTTTTGATTTTGGGGCTTTTTTGTTTGTTTGTTTTGGTTTTGTAAAAAGTAATATAAATAATTTCATCATTGTTCTGTATGACCAAGAGGTAGGACAAGGTGGAAAAACTACTTAGCTATTCTTATTAAGCAGAACTTGTTGAAATAAACCAGTGTGAGAGTGAGATATTATGACTATCAATTAATTGGTAGGGTTAAGTTTACCATTTTATTTTTATAATTCTTTTTTTTTTTTCCTGAATGTGTGAGTCCAAGAGTAGACAAAAAATACTTTTCTTCTTTGGACTAATCTCTGGTGGTTTTTGAAAGTCTGTATTACTAACTTGTTGAATTCATGATATTCTGTCTTATAGCATCAGTTGTAAACATTTGTTTTTCTAAAATAAAGTAATTCAAAACGTAGTTGTTTGTTATTTTTACTATGTGTCCTTTGGCAGTTTGCCACATGAATAGTTCTGTAGGAGCAAAGACAGCAACTAATACCGATCTTCATACAGTTTTTATTTCTTTTGTTAAAATTTTAAGTAATTCATAATTGGAGTTTTAGAATTTAAACAGATTTGAGATCAGATTGTAATCTTATTCCCTGATAGATTTAGAACTTGGGATTCATGAGTTTGGTATATTTTGTATTTGTAGAACTTGGTATCTTTTACGCACTGATTTTTCTAAAAGGGTGCCTCACCTGCTTTTTACAACACTTAAAGATAGAAGAATTGAATTTGTATTCTTAAGTCAGCTGTAAAGTTATGATCTTGGTACAACATGGCCTCAGCCCCCTCACTGTATTGTCAATGAAGTGAGAATTTAAATCCTCAGTGTTTTGTTTTTTTGAAATGGCATTGGTTGAGAGTATATTACAAAACATAAATTTATACAAGTTAATTTTAAAATTTGTCATTCTATACCAAGAGCATGTGTTTTAATGGGAATAACTGGCACAAGAATAACAGTCAGCAAAAATGAACCTGTGAATTTATGAATTTGCACTGACTAGCTGGTTAGGATAGTTGCTTCTGAGAAGGGCATAGCACGTTGAGCTCCACAGAAGTGTGGCAGAGGCACCCTGTCTCGACAGGAGCTCCTGTGCCATGCTGCCTGGTTCATACTCTCTCTCTCTCGTGTGCTGTGTGAAGTTGGATAAACCACTTGACCCCTCTGCTCCTGAGTCAAATATGATTGGGGATAATGACACCTATTTCCTTGGATTGTGAAGATTAAATGAAGCATATTTGGAACAGGGACTTGATTTCTCACTTCATTTAGAATTTTATAGTTGTTTACCACAGAGAAAAGGCAAGTCATTATGAATATAAAATCTTTATGTTTAAATTTGCTTGGCTACTTTCCGCAATTTAAGTTTTAACATTCTGAATCAAAGTGGAAAAAAAGTATTTAACATTGAAATTAAACAATTATAAATATTTAGGTTTAGACATCTCTGAAAAAGCCTCTGGTCTTTGTGCTTTTTTATTGAAACAAAATGAATAAACACAAAGAAAATGTAAGTATCTGGTAGAATAATTGATTGATTTCTGTGAATGTTTGTTTAGATAGGTAAATATGTGATTTGGAATTAGGATATGAATGCATGTTGCATACAAATGAAAAGATTATTTTCCTGCAAAGATTCCTGGCTAAAACTCAAAGTATTCCAGGGTTTACCAAGCCCATCTCCTACAAACTGGAATGGTGTTTTAATCTAGTGAAAAATTGGCAGTGATTTTCTGTGACTGAATCTTTCAACAAATGTTTATTAAATGTTGTCTTTGTACCACCAAGATTGCAGCATTCAAAGACAGTCAGTTCCCAGTCCTCATGGAGTTTTAAGCTACTGTAATTTCCAATCCATTTGTATTTAAAACTTTCAATTCTATTTTTCTGTTTTTCTTAATTTCCCTTCTTTTGCAATCCATATTTCAACATAAAAGCATTGTTGTATCTTTGGGACAGTATTGGTGACCAGGGCCAAAGAGAATTTCTTGTCAGTTTTCTTCAAATAACGGAGAGTTGGATTTATTCTGCATGTCTGCAACTGTAGTGGTACCAGGGATAGAGATAAAGGGAGATGGAATGCAGTTCAAAGTAAGGAAACAATAAAAGAACTGTCCAGAGAGAGAATGTTGGAGGCTCAGGATCCCCACACTGAAAATGACCAAGCATAAGCCAGACTGTCCTTTGGTACTGGTTCCTTTTGGTCTGAGATTCTGTTGTACACAACAGTCCCTTCTCTTTCCAACAGAGAAAGTCAAGAAGGTTCTTAGCCAAATCTGATGTATTCAGTTTTAGGTGGATGGCTAAGACAATTCAGTGAACCTGAAGAATCCCTAGAAACTCAGAATATTCCTTCACTCAGGAAATTTTTCACAGAAATCCCCATTATTGTCTTCGTAAGTGACCAGGGTCACCTGGTGATGTATATGACTGGTTTTGTTCTAACAGAATCCTTTGATATATCACAGTTTCTATGTCTGATGTTGTCACTGAAAATTTTCTTGCCATTCTAAGAACCTAGCCCAAAATACAGTAAACAGATGCAAATGGCTTATAGGACAGCACTTAAGATTGTGAGCTATGAACAAATAATCTGTGTAACTAACCTGTTAAATTCTTTTGTCTTTTTTCCCTCTTTAAACCGACCATCAGAACATTTTTATAAGCATTCTGAATTGGCATTATTGAGATTACAGGATTATATAACTTCTCTGAACAATAATACATCATAACTGTAAATCAAGTAATTGAGGGAATGACTTAAAATATGAAGGATTTTTGTAAGGATTTAAAGGTTACTATCAAGGAATAATTTTGGAAGAGGAAATAAATTTAAAATCCGTTCACCTCATATTTGGATATAGGTGACTTAACGCTTTTCATTAAAGACTAGTTATTTTGCTAAGATGATCATAAATTTCCTCCCCAATTATCCAATTATCCTTCTTGAGAAGGATAGAATTACTACTGATAAGCACCATGCTTAGCATGTTTGGTTTGCATTAAAGAATATCAACAGTTGTGTAGTAGTTTGTGTGTGGGAAGATTTTGAATTCTAGTGCTCTGGAAGCCACTTCGATACAAGTTCATTGACTTTAGAGGACGGGCATGAAGTTCACAGTCTGAACACTAGAATGTAAATTACAATGAAATCATATTACTGAAAATAACAAAAAAATGTTTGGATGGAATAACAATGTTTTTAAATAGTTCGTTGGATCAATTGACATTGATTGCTTATACACAAATGGATAGACTAAACATTTGAGAATATTTTATGTTTTTTTTTGTTTGTGATTTATTTTTAAACTTAGACTGCAGTTCTTTAAAGTTGTTGATGTCATAATCTCAGATACTCTGAAATAACTGAATTGCTAGCTTTGAAAATATTAGAAATATTTTTCTCCCAAATACTATTTCATAGTAGTCCACCTCATAGAATTTCTGTTGTCTCCCTTCCCTAACACTGGATCTCCATCATTGTAGGGATGCAGTTACATAGGAAAGTATGAGGTATTATTCAGAAGTATTACTGAGGAAAAACTGTCATTCAGTTTTTTTAAGAGTTGGATTATGATTCAAAGGACTCTTGGGAGATAAACTGATATCTGAGTATAATCATTCAATAATTGTTTAATTTGAACACTTGACGTTTCTTTATTGTTATCTCATTGGCTGAATTAAAAATTGGATGGGAGCAGTCTCCTGGCTCCCAGCAATGAAGCCGGAATGTTAAGCTGTTGTTGGTGTGTGGAGGATCCACACAGAGGTTGGAGTTGTATGGGACGTGGTAGAAAAACAGGATATTGGACTGTGTTGACCACTTCCTGGGGCCTTCGGGAAGGTCTGGTCAAGAAAGAGAAGACAGGAGAACAGGAAGGTGAACACTCAGAGCCTCCTGCCTAGAGAGAGCAGTGCGGCGTGCCAGGAAGCAAGCTGTTTTCCTGTTTTATCTGCAAACAGATTTCTTGCTCAAGGTCAAATTAAGGGAGAGAGTGAAGTACTGACATAATTGGTACCCCCGAAGGCACTGGAAACCTGAAGGCAGCCCCACTTGCCACCCTCTGACCCTGGACCCAGCACTTGCTGCATGCTTTGCCATTCCCCTCCACCACCAGCAGGCTACTCAGCAGGGCACTGTGACTAACTCATCTTCCAGATCTGAGATTTCAACCATTTGTAAAGATGGTATACAGATTGAAAGGCCAAGACCCCAGAAAATCCCTGACTTTGGTCATTGGTCATGGATTCCCTGGAAATCTTAAAAAACAAGTAGCTCAACTAAATTTTTATGGGAGCTATATTCCCAGAGAATCTCCTAAAGCTTAATATAAAAGATCCACTAATTCCTCAACACTGAAATGATGCTCCGTAACTCAAAATCTTATCCTAATCCTCCTTTAGGTGGAGGATACCTAAATGAGCTCACCATACTGCCAAGCTATGCTGTCTTTGCTCAGTCAGGTGTTTCTAGGAGGTTGTATCCACCATATGTTGTTTTAGGTAAACTCCTGTGGGAGAAGGATTTCAGTAAATGTTCATTTAATTGTACACTGTATATGTGAAATTATACAATTTACATATATTCAATATCTCTGAAATGAAAAGTGAACGTTGACCCCTCTGTAACACTGTTCACAGAAATTCAAGATAAATAACAGACCTAATGTGTAAAATGAAACAATAACTTTTTGGAGAAACCTGGGAAAGAATCTATGACTCTAGTTGAAAATAATTGGGTAAAGAGAACAGAAATAGCATGCATATTATTGGGAGGAGTTATCAATTGGATTTCATTAAAAGTGAGAATTTCTGTTAATCAAATGATACCATTAACAGTGAAAAGGAAGCCACATCAATGTTTTCAGCAGCTCAATTCACAATAGCTAAACTGTGGAAGCAACTTAGATGCCCTTCAGTAGATGAAAGGATAAAGAAACTAATATATGTATAAAATAGAATATTACTCAGCATGAAAAGAGAATAAAATTATGGCTTTTGCTGGTAAATGAATGGAGTTGGAGAACATCATGCTAAGTGATGTGATCCACTCCCCAAAAAACAAAGGCCAAATGTTCCCTCTGATAAGTTGATGCTGATCCATAATGGGGGGTCGGGCGGGTGGAGAGGAGTGGGAATGGAGGGACATGGGAAAAATGGAGGAACTTTGGGCAAAGGGGATGAAGGGGTGGAGAGAGTGCATAGGGGCACGGCCAGAGAAGTGAAAAGTTGTGCTGCAGTTGTGTACAGTGAATCAAAATGCATTCTGTTGTCAGATATACCTAAGTAAAATTAGTTAATTAATAAAATAGTGAAAAGGGAGGAGAGAAGCTGGGAGGTGGTATTCACAAAATCCTCATCTACCAAAGGACTTCTGCAGAATATATAAAGGATACCTTTCAATCAAT